CGTCTTCTCAGTTTGCCAACACACTCACTCACTCCACATGTGCGTGCGCAGCAATCTTCAACTCGTAACGATCACGACCTCTCGTCACGCCGACGTGGGAGCGCGCCAACCGAGTCGATGCCTCCTGCCGTTGACGCTTCTGGAGTCAGCGAGCACCGCGGACGCGTGTTGGTTGACTTGACCAGCTCCCGTGAGTCATACACGGACTCTTCGTGGCCTCCCACGCCCGACTCCCGGCCCGCCGAGCTTGCCTGGCGACACCACTTCGGACGCCGCCCATAAGCCGAGCTCAGCGGAGGCAGTGGACTTGGACTCTCTCGCCGCGTTCCTGCAGCAACAAGCCGACGACCACCGAGAGGATAACTCCTCCCTTGCTCAGTTGTTGGTGTATGGTCTCACAAGCCCTGCCATTCCTCGCGACTCAGCTCAAGGATCGGCGATCCTTCAGGCTTCGTCGGCTTAAGATCTTCTGAGCACCTTGGTGGAGCAGAGCAGAGCATCGCTTTTGACCCTTCCGCCGTGATCGCTGAGCTCAAGGTTGATTTGCGTGACGCGAGGACTCAGTACGACGCTCTCCAGCGACGACTAGACGCACTGGCGGTCGAGAACGCTGACTTAAAGACTCGATTGGTGACATCGGAGAGAATGGCCGACGCCATGCAGGCAGACTCCTAGAACTCGGCTGAGCTCATCGCTTCACTCCGGAAAGCGGTTGCACTGAGTGAAACCCAGCAGTCCAAGATCGCCGAGACCGAGAAAAGCAAAGTGGCTGCAGTCTTTGCTCAAGCTGATCTCCATCAGCAGCAGGTGTTAGCTCGTAACGCTGAGATCAAGGCGCTGCGCCAGACTTTTACCGACAAGGACACTGCGTATTCCATCCTTCAGGGAGTGGCTGCAAAGCACTTCGAGCAGCAACAGAAATCGGCGCGGCTACTCAACTCCACCAACGATCAGTCGCTCCGTCACACTCTGTCCACGATTGAGAATCAGCGGGCCGTCATCACGCGTCAGAAGCGAGTGATTGCTCGTCAAGGCTACATTTCGATGCACGGCCCCACATGGCGGTTGCCGCTGTGTGGTGGAGTGGGATTCGCAAAATCACGTTGCGATCGTCGTACTAATTCGTATCTTGTATCACAGA